GATACACATCCTCTTCCTGGATGGCTACCTACACATGTCCCTCTCCATGGATGGCTACCTACACATGTCCCTCTCCATGGCTACCGACACTCGTCCTCTCCATGGCTACCGAAACAAGGAAAGAAAGGAAGGAGGGAACTCTGAAACTGAACCCACCAACCGCTTTATGATGGAGGAGGAGGAGAAAACAATAACGGACACTAAATATGGAGGATGGGGAGCAGACGGGAATAAATCCTCCATCTGATTGTTGTCAGATTTCCGCTGCGCTTCCAACCTGCGATACTTTGAGTCTGACCGTTCCCTCCTTTTACTGCAGCAGATCTAAAGGATCGGTGCTTGTTGAGGAAAGCAGCGCCTGATGGAAATGCACCGATCATTGCTGATGTAAACTCTGGATCCGTTATCAGTGAAAATGGTTAGATCTGTTTGGTCTATTTCTATAAAAGTTCCCCTTTGCTTTAAGATCTGTGAAACAGCAGGTAGCAGGTCTGATTGAGTGAAGTTTGTCTGAACTGGTCCATGTTTCCTGGCTCTGTTGGTTTCCTTTGGACTTATAAGCATTCGTAGGTTTATAGGTGCTCGAGTGTTTGAGCCTCCTAGAAATCATCCTGTTAGAATTATTGATGATCAGGGTAGTAGAATAAATATCAGCATCGATATTAGGCTGAAAAAAAACAAACCAATGTTTATTTCCACCCACTTCCTGGTTTTAGGACAGCAGATCGATCATGTGCTGTTTTTTTTAATTATGGTAATGCAGCAAAGGATTGTGGGATGAAGCAACGTGAACAGCATGGCTGGTTTTTCATTAAGGATAATATTGGTCATCTGCAATGACACCAATATCAGACATCCTCCCAAATGTGTGTGTTGGTGTTTGCCTAGTGGTGGGGATGATGATTATTTACATTCAGTTCAGTTTATTTCTATAGCACCAATTCACAACACGTCATCTCAAGGCACTTTACATCATACAGTCAGATTTATTCATAGTTTACTATCTAAAGAAAACCAGCTGATTGCATCGACTCATTGACTTGATGGCAGTCCGTCACACTAAGTTTTTACGGAAGTAAACATGGATGGTAGTGCCAGAGCACATCTAGCGATCTTACCCACAATCTTTTCAATATGGTTAAACAAATAATACTCTCTGGATCATCATCCGCCATTGTTGTTGTTTTTCTTTCCACTTCTGTGTAGCAAGATGCAGAATAGTGACCTTTGTCGGGTATTAATAGCGTTCAGGTCGGATGAATGTAACCTGGCCGTTCAGACACAGGTCGCATTTAAAAAGATCAGATTCTATTTCGGATTCAGGACCACACAGCCAAGTGTCCTGGGTTGCATTGGAAAAAATCGGATCTGTGTTGTTCAGACTGCCATGAAAGGTCAGATCCAGGTCACATTTGGGCCAAAAGAATGTAGAAATAAGTCAAAATTTCTTAATTCAAGTGTATTTAACCCTAATTTGAGTAGATAAATAGGATTAATTGCCAATGAAATGATTTTTACTCTTAAAACGAGGTAATTAGATCATATACACTTGAAAAAAGACAATTAAATTGTTTTATTTTCTTATTTTAAATGTAAATTGTCTTGTTCCATTGGCTAAGTGTCTCACTTACCTCCTCAATTCAAGTAATAAAAAAATCACTTTTTTAAAGAAATAATGACTTATCTAGATTTCAATTATTTTTTTCAGTGTATGGGCAAAAAAAGTCCGATTTGGGTCCCTTCAGGCTGCTGTGTGAACGTAGCCTTAAACAACAGAGCTCCCATCTGGATCCAGAAACATGGTTTTAAAACGCCACGACTCACCCAGAATTAATCAGTTCAAGCTTTAAAAGAAACGCAAAGCTTGTTCAGCACAGACGCGTCCAAAGATGTCGTTACCTGATGTTGTTTTTATTGTTTCTTTTAATAGAATAGTATTTTCTACTTACACCTTGTTTAAAACACAGCAGAGGATTTTCAGGTAAACCAGTTTTTCCAGGTCCTGTTGGTGTTTGAAGGGCCTACGTAGGAAGCCGTAGCTCTCTAAAGAACGGAGTGAAGATGGCTTCACTTTTGAGAAGTGAGAGTCCACCTTGTGGCATGGCTTTGACTCACTCTCTCTCTCTGTCTCTCTCTCTCTGTCCAGTTCTGGATATGGCCCGCCATGTTCCGCTGTACAGAGCGCTGCTGGAGCTGCTCAGGGCCATCTCCACCTACACCGCGCTGGTTCCACTGCTGCTGCCATTGTCTGGGGACCACGGACGAGACGAGGAGGAAGACGACGAAGAGCATTCGGAGGGGCAGACTTCTGTCGGCCTGCTGCTGGCCAAGATGAAGACCTGTGTAGACACGTACACCAACCGCCTCAGGTACGGCGTCCAGCGTGGCTACAGAGCTCCTGAAGGGGTTTGGAGAGGACTGTCTCCCCCTAGTGGCCCGGAGCAAGCAGCGCCTCTTATCATGCTGCTTTTTTCCAAGTGTTGTTTTCAGTATTGATGTATTTGAAGCCCTCAGTTAGCTTTGTTCATTTGATGAGGAAGAACAGCCGCCACTGGTTCACAGAGACAACATCCCACCAGGTCAGGGCATCAGCTGAACTTTAATTGTCTAATAGCAGCAATGATTCCCAGAGCGTCTCATTGAGAAGATTTACAATTTAGATCACAGGAGAATCTTTGGTTTCCTTCATCATAACATGTCAGGCGGCTGCATCATCACTTTCCCCCATAGAGATGGTGACTGAAAGCTGACCGAAAGGGATGGAAACACTGACCTTAGAAATGAAGCCAGAATCAGACCCGTGGTGGCTTAAGCTAGACACTTAATCTCAACACTTTAAGCAGATGTTTCTCTCCAGGATGGAGTCACAGCCAAACAGGAACAGACCAGATGAAGCTACTATGAGAAAAAGCAGAGAGAGCAGAACGTTAGAGATTGAACTAACAGATTCTGCAGAGTGGGAGAATAGAGACAGACTGAAGCAGAATGATGAAATAGGAGTCCCTATGTCCTCCAGAAGTCTAAGCCTATAGCAGCATAACTATAGAGATAGCTCAGGATAACCTGAGCCACTCTAACTATAAGCTTTATCAAAAAGGAAAGTTTTAAGCCTAGCCTTAAAAGTAGACAGGGTGTCTGCCTCGTGAAGTCAGAGGCAGGAAGAACAGGTCCTGTCTGCTTTCTGTGTCAATACGTCAGTTTGAGCCCGTAGCTTCCCTGCTTAGCTCTGCTGCTAACAGCTCCTTCCTCTAGTGTTTCAGTTATTGTCTAAATAAACAGGGTAGAATCCATCCTGCTTTAAAGTATGCTCTGAGAGTCCGAGCTCAGCTAAAAACCTAGTGAGTGATGATCCCCCAACTAAAGGCTGTGATGAGAAAGCGCTCCTGGTTCCATGACTGTGTTTCTGCGTTCCAGGTCAAAAAAGGATAAGAGCAAAGGTGTGGTGAAACCCGAGGGGTCAGACCCAGAACCTGAGGGTTTGACCCTGCTGGTTCCCGACATCCAGAGGACGGCGGAGATCGTCCATGCAGCAACGACGAGCCTGCGGCAGGCCAATCAGGGTGCGTATACACAGAAGGAACTGAGCAGGGATCCGCCGTCATGGAACTGTACTGAGCTTTAGAGCGAAGGGTTTGGACCTGAACTCTGTCAGCCCAACGGGAAAACGAGGAATGTGTTAAAACCCGTCCTCTGGATGGATCTTCATCCCATTCATTAGTCAGCCCCCCCACCCCCCAAAAAAAATCTCTCCTGTCACATGACCTCCCAGTATTAATCCTCTGCTCCCACAGAATGTCCTGTGACCGATCACTGGGGTGGAAACCAGCCCATTAGATGTAATGGAGGGGTGTGTGAGATGGAGGAGACAGCCTGAGATCATTGTCAGAGGTCTTAATGTGGAACATTCCGTGATAAGTCCCGCCGTGTCCCTCATGATTAATCAGAGAGGAGCTGGCAGCGTTTGAGACGTGACAGATTTATCACCCCTCTATTAGCAGACGGCCGCTGGCAAAGCGCCCCGACCAACCAGTAGCAGACTATTGTTTAATGAAGTAGTTTGGCTTATAATCCGTTTTTATTCTACCTGTTTAAATTAGAATAATTAATCTGTTTTGCTTCTTTTTTTTTCTCCAACTGTTGACCTTTAATAGATTCTGGGGACACATCATGCCTCTTTTGTCTTATTGATTTCCAAACCATATCTGGAAGAAATGCAGCTTTAACTGCTGGAATACATCTGTTTAAATCATTTGCTCTCAGCCCTTTACGTTATCCTAAAATACATAAAGTCCCTTTTTAAAACCATTGAAAATGCAGTTTCCTTTCCCACATTTATCCCAGTATAAACAAAATCTTTCCTTTATCTTTGAAAAATCAGTTTCAGTTTTTATTGTTTTTCTTTATCAACCTTTGATTCTTTGACTCTGATTCTAAATTTCAGATTCATTACTGATTCAGTTTATGTTTCCCAACATGTCATCTGGAGACGTTTTACCACATCAGATTAAGCTACTATTACAAGAATAAAAATTGAGAGATCAAAAATGTTGCAAATTATTTAGAATTGGAGAATAGAAGTAGAATGTAAAAGTGGTCCCCTTGTCCTCCAGCATTCTGAGCCTTTAGCAGCACAACTACAGAGATCATGTTTGAATAAATTAGGGGATAAAGGTTGTATAGTGAAAGTTTTCTTCTTTGCTTTAAGGTTCTAACCTTTAAATGATTTAAATCAAAATATTTATCACCCTGAAGTATTTTTTAATACTTCCTGAACCTGAAGGACAATAAATACATTTTTATTTTAACTCTCCAACCTTGTAAGAAAAGTATCTAAATTATTGCTGCTTTTATATCATTTTCCACCAAAACGTGGAGTTCATTAAACATGATACCATGAAAGATATATTATCTATATATACACTGTCAGTTTTGCACATCTCTGATGTTGCTGCTAAATATCCATTACTGTAAAAATGTCCATAGCTGTATAGCAACTGGAGAATAAAAATGTTATATTGTTTATATTTATATTGTTAAAACACTTTACAGTACAGTATTATATTTTTTATCTTTTAACTCTTCACTTTTATATTATTCTTATACATTTTTCTAACGTCCAAATTTGTGTGACCAGAATTTCTCCATTGTGGGACAATAAAGGGATTTTCTATGCTATTCTGTATTATAAAAATACATATTAAAATCAGACTGGAAAACATTTTCATATCAGAGAAAAACCTTTTAGGAGCCTAAACTATGTAAAGAATTCAGTGTCACCTGATCTTTTTCTCATTGCTGATCTTTAATTTCCCCTTTCTCTCCATCAGAGAGGAAGCTGGTGGAGTCTTCAAAGAAGGCGTCAAGCAGGCCAAAGCCGCTGTCTGTGCTCCGCTCCTTAGAGGAGAAATACGTCGCTGCCATGAAGAAACTACAGTTTGGTGGGTTTAAACATCTCTGCTCGTCTTAATTAATCCCTGTTGTAAACTGCTTCAAATCAGCATTAGGTCCTGTTGGCAGTGATCTGGTATCCAGTGTTTCCCATGCATTGACTGTGATTTTTTTTTTTACCACGCTTCTCATTGTGTGGTCAATTCCTCCTCACCTGAACTCGGTTTATGTAGATATTTCAGTGTCTGCAGGATAAGCTCTGGTTTATCAGCATAATGGATGATGTCTAAGAAAGTTGATAAATTAGAGGTTATACAGCAGTATCCTGCAGGTGAATGTAGGCCACATTTATTGAAAATGACAGTGAAGCTCTGCTGGTTGAACTGCAGAGCCCTCTAGAGGACTGCGCTGTCATTACAACACTGAGACATTCCCTCTAATTAGACATCATCAGTTATGACAGAGTATTAGGGCCAGGCTAGAGTTTTTTTTTTTTTACTTAGAGTTGTAACATGAGAATCGAGTCGTAACATTACAAGAATAAAGTCATCATATAATAAACCGTTTCGAAAGAAAGCTTCGAGCTCCGACCAGCAACCTGAGTTCACTTTGACATCCTGCCCAATTTGAAGCGGGTGTTAAAAGATTTCCTTATTTGTCAAACCAGAGCCAGGATAACTTCACATGATGCTCTACATTCCTCATTTTAGGGAAGAAAGTGCTTCTTGTAAGATTTGTCATGAAATACAACTTGTTTCTTGTAATTTTAGGTCTTTATTATCTTAATTTATAGACTATTCTTGTAATTTTACGACTTTATTCTCGTGATTTTCCGACGTTATTCTCATAATTTTATGACTTTATTCTCGTAATTTTCCGACTTTATTCTCGTAATGTTACGTCTTTGTTCTCGTAATGTTACGTCTTTGTTCTCGTAATTTTATGACTTTATTCTCGTAATGTTACGACTTTATTCTCGTAATGTTACAACTTTATTCTCAAAGTAGAAGGAAAAAAAACTGTAATCGGTAAATAGGATAGAATAAATTTTAATCTAATACACTACGAATGATCAGTAAATCCTAGTAAGATTCTTTACATTCCTTCTTATCATGCATATTTTTTTTCTCTGCATCAAGCATGCAATACTTTATTTTTTTTATTTTGCCAAGGCTGATTCTGAGGCTGCTGAGGTGTTAAACTTCATACCCCTCCCACTAGTTCATTGTGATGCAGCTCCTCAGATACGGTGCTACGCCGTGTCGTACAAAGCTACTGTAGCTATGGAAACGCTGGATATCCACATCCACCATTGTGTTGCAGTGCGGTTCTTTTCCAAATGATGAGGTTCCTTCTAGAAGTGTCGTGTCATGAAGGACACCTGAACTCTGTTCATCTGTTGCTCCTAAGCAGAATGAGCCACATCCTCCTAACCTCTGATTTCCTCTCCACGCAGACACCTTTGAAATGGTTTCAGAAGATGAAGAAGGGAAGCTGATGTTCAAGGTCAACTACCACTACATGTCTCAGGTGAAGAACGCCAGCGATACAAACAGCGCAGCAAGGTCCCGCCGCCTGGCCCAGGAGGCCGTCACCCTGTCCACGTCTCTCCCTCTGTCGTCCTCTTCCAGCGTCTTTGTCCGCTGCGACGAGGAGAGGCTCGACATCATGAAGGTAACGTGTCGCTTGTACGGAGCGGTGAGGTGAAAGGCGTGCTCTCATTGGTTAGCTCATGCTCTGATTAATGGCCGACTTTCCGTCCTTAATGTCTCAGTTGGCAAAGAATCGAAATAGAAACTAAAATGCTGTGATGTTTGCAGAGGGCTGTGGGTAGCAGCCTGCTGGACGGGCCTGAGAAGAACCGCTTCCTGTTAAAGCAGAGCGTTGTTATCGGATAGGTTTGATTTATAGTTTGGAGGCAGGAGGAGCTGAACTGTGTCTGGATGCTGTGATCCATCAGGCTGCTGACTCATTTCCATCACAGCGTCCTTGGAGAAGACGCTGAACTCCAGCTTACCTCTGAGAATGTGTGTGATTGAGA